TAACTGCAAGTTAGTTGATAATAACACTCTATGGAATAATTCAATGAACATTCACAATTGATTGATCACTGAGTGGTGATCAATGTTATGTGTGTCAAGTCCTTCTTAGTGCAGATCGAATGCTATCGACCGGTCGCGACCTGGATAGCTCAGTTGTAACGTCTCTGATTGTGAAGCTGGGTGACACAGGATCGAATTCGTCAGGGAGCACCAGTTCCCTCAAGATTACAGGTACACGTTGCTGAAGAGTGTCAAGTAGCACAAAACCCGGGTCCAGGGTTTCCTGTTGACCACTTCCAACCACCATCTTAATTCAATGAACATTATATTGGAAACCATCTTTTAAGTATTGTTGAAGTATGAATTGTTGTCATCGGGCGTATATATATATATATATATATATATATATTCATTTGAAATCTATTTTCATCTAAGCTATAAGAAAATTGAGGATTCTATATAAATTATGATATCAGTCGATTATCATTGTAAATTAATAAACTACATTTAAATAACCATCTGAAAATAGTAAATATTACTTGGTCTTTATTAAAGACGTAACCAATAATACTACTCTTTAAAATAATCTTTTCCGCGTGGCTAATTTAAGTGATGATTAACAAGGGGTTTTGTGGATATTATAGTAATTTTAATATTTGAGATCATGAATCAATTAAAGCTAAACCGTCATGGAAAACCTGGAAGCACTGGACGTGGATACGCACTGCTGAGTTGTCCCACAATAGGACGAGAAAGCCATCCAGTGCTTCCAGGTTTTCCATGATGGTCTCGCTTCAATTGATTTATGATCTCAACTATTAAAATTAGGTGAAGATATTCAGTATTTGTGTTCTGAACATACCCAAATAAACAATGAATACTGAATAGTTGTACTAAACAATCATAAATGAGCATTTTCTCACAATTGAGAAATGTAAAACCAAGCCACATACGACGGCAAACGGTGTGCATTAAAAACTTTTAATTTAACACTAATTTACACATTAAACATTTGACAAGACTGAAGAAAAGTATTAGACATTCAGACCATTGCATGTAAGTGCAGTGTTTTAAATTTTAAGTGCTACTTGAGGGATCAAAAGTTCAGGATTTGATCCCTTGTGTTGGTTTTGTGAATGAACACTTCCATAGATGGGCGGCACACTAGTATGAAACAAGAAAGGATATTGGTAAGGGATTCCCCGTGTCTTAAAACAATTTAAAGCTAACGCCTTGTCAAAATTTACAGTCATCAATTTGAAGGAAAAAGGATCCATACGATGAAGAAAACACAATTGATTATATGCAATACTGACGATAACAATAAAAGTTCATGGAATCTAATGCTTATTCTTACTATTTTACAATAGTACTTTATATAACATCGAATCATATCTTCATATAAAGTAGGTTTTTTTTCATTTTTTTTCAATGCGCAGTGCTGAGGAGTCCCATAATAGAACGAAACGGCCGTCCAGTGATTCCAGGTTTTCCCAGGTGGTCTAGCTTCACTTGACTCATGATTTTAACTATGAAAATACTAAATTCTCCACAAAACCCCTTCTGATTTTTTTAATGATTTAAGTCTTTTCACTTGCTAAATGTAATCTCTTAACGTAAAGGCATATTTGACTACTGTGGTTTCAGTAGATTTACTCATTTTGAGCATACTTTTCTTCACGAACTGAAATAAGCTGGGAAAACATGATTATCACGAAGTACTAGTTACCTATTTCATCTTAGTACATATTCCTGACAAGTTTCCTATCTGGATACAGTCATTGTAAAGCAGTCAATTTAGTTTTACCATACCTTATTTGTTTTGAATGATAACTCTAGTCATATTCAATAATAGCTATCAGTCGGATTTTTCTATCGTAATATTGGATTTATTATAATGAATGTTTATGTTCTAGCAAAAAATCAGTGCTTTAAACAATACATTATTTATTCATTAAATGCACAATGATATATACTGGTCACTTTATGCCTGAATAAAGTTCTGTGTTGTGATTTCGTTAATAGGTCAGTATAAAAATCCAATGTACACCGTAATTGATTGTTTAAAGATAACCATATACGGATGTGTTTACTTCAAGCTAACATGTAATTGAATATATATGTTTGATTGTCTTCATTTAGTTCTTTGCCTCATGATTATATATCTTTTCAAAAGTTCCTCTTTCGATTTTATGTAACTATTCAAATTTTGCAAAGTTACATTGATATAATTTCTATTTTTTATTTTAAACAAAATGGAATAAATTTTAAGTTATTTCATTATAATTCAAAAGTACTAATCGGTTGATCTATCTATATTCTGACGTTATTTGTCCATTTCATTATGAAGAGAGAGAGAAAGAGGAAAATGTTATCGATTAGACAGTACACCTTTTTTTTTATTTTTCTCCAGCTAAATCTTACCACATAATGTACCTAAATTCATGTCCATTCAATTCTATCCACACACACACACATACATACGCTTGGACGCACTCAAATATACAAACACTTACAAGTATAAATATATATAGTACCTAATCAAGTGGTCGAAATGTATATATAAATATGTGCACAGATACTATCATGAGAATGCTATCAAATCTTTCTTAACTGAATGAATATCTCTATTTATTATACATTGAACTTAAAAATATAGAAAATCTTATTTCTTTTTGTATATATCATATTTAAATATACAAACAAATTCTATTTTCTGTATGTGTAAAATACTTTGGAAGAATTAGATTACAATGGTAGATTATTAACTGATCTATTGAAATTTGATGTATCTATGGTCATTAAAAAAAGAATCCCTTCTACGTAGAACACTATATATATATATCTATTGATTAATCGAACGAAGAAATGTTTTTCTTTTTTCTTTTTAAAAAAAATGACAAAAAATCTTGATTGTTTTTTTTTGACTATTTTAATACTACTACTTATTATTATTATTATTCTATTTATTATAAATGTGTAAATATTAGAAAATAAATGAATAATCTTAAAGGTCATTCAAACAATAAAACTTTTTTTTTCTAATCGAATAACTACTTATTTAAAGTAGACTACATTCAAAAGTATTATCATTAAGATATTAAAAAGTAAATATATAATTGTGATTAACTCTATCAGTAAAAAAGTATTTATTATCAAAAGGGGTTTTTGTGGATATTCTAGTAATTTTAATAGTTGAGATCATTAGTCAATTAAAGATAAACCATCATGGAAAACGTGGAAACACTGAATGGCCGTTTCATCAGATTTCAAGACTACTCACCAGTGTGCACCCATGACCCGTACCAAAGGAACTCGAACCCAGGATCTATCAGTTTCGCGCGAGATCGCTTAACCTTCAGACCAGTAAGCTGGCACCTTCCGGTGTTAATGACTAATTTTAACCGATCCACGAAATTGAGCGACACATCTGCCATTGTCTTCAGTGACTTACTATCTCACAACAGACCTGGTTGAACTCCACTGGTAAGCAGTCATCAGGAAATACCTCATGGAACCAGTCACTATTTATTTTATTTTATTTAAAAACATAAATATTGGTACAAGGAAGCACAAGAAACATATGCGCCTCACGAACCAGTCACTAGTAAGCATATGTTGATTAATATCTGATGAGTCCCATGACAGAACGAGACGGCCGTCCAGTGATTCCAGGTTTTCCATGGTGGTCTAGCTTCAATTGACTCATGATCTCAACTATTGCAAAAAGTAATTATAAATTAAGACTGTTTTTTATTCGGCAATGAAATAATATTCATTGTGGAAAGTTTTGATAAAAAGATTCGTAGTTCAGATGAATAGATTCGTTGGTGTTTGATTGTCTAATTTGTATATTTCAACTATCATAGATTGACAATTAAATTATGCAGCTTGTAGAGAACTAAACACTAAAGAACTGTACAGAATAAACGAAAATAAATAATAAGATATACAAGTAATAAATGTAAGTAGATGGTTTTACTTGAATTGATAGTAATTTCTTCAATGATTCAATCGATGTTATAATGATATACTACTGTAGTGAACAAGAAGAAGAGTGGGGACAATCGAATGTATTGAAGCACAAATTACAATCGATCTCACTAAAATCTGATAACCTTACAGTGAATAGTTAATTTACAAATTATCAATCAATTGACTCAATCTTGACCGTTTCTTCGTCAAATATCAGTTCGTCTGTGATTATTATCGTTCATGTATTTTCATACCAATTGCGATTCATTCCCGTTTTTTCCTTATCAATCTTCTACTGAAATACATTCTATACCATCCCATCACCATATACTACTTATATGGATATAAGTAGCTCACACCACACTACATGATCTTTATCAATCAAACATAAATCGTTTATAATTTATTATAATAAATAATCAAACACCTAGAAACATTTAACCTTTACAAAATGTTTAACTCTTATGATGAATATCCTGTAAGGAAAAAAAAAATTTTATGGTTACAAAATAACGTTTATAAAATAGTGAATTATAATTGAAACAATTGCTCAATAAAATAAACTTCAATGTAAAACGTTTATGTGAAATATCTATGTAGTGTATTAAAATACTTTAATCTCCAATAAAATACAACCGTCGAATACTGTGATGAGGTGTACAATAATTTTCTATCCAACTCAAAATTTTGACATAGATATCTATTTTGTATATGAAGCAATGGTATTCATTTATGGTTGGTATAATAATTCTAATTATGAGCATTACTATTGACAACTAAGTGAAAACATAGTTGAAGACTACTGAAATAATGAGAATGATAAAAATTATTTCAATCTGTACAAAGTGTAAGTATATTCATTCGCTGAGACTTTACAAATATATATTATTCCTATTTAATGTCTTACATCAACTCAGTGCTCAAATACTGTGAAACTATTCGCTCTAATTTAGACGAAAGTTCTTATATAAAGTGTAAGTATTTTACTATTTAATAAAAATAATACATTTTCATTTTGATTTCAGATACTTTTAACATTGATTATAATAACATCAAAAGACCATATCCATTAACAATGAAACGATATTTAACAATGGCAGCTGACAAATATCTACTATGGAATAAATTACTGAATGAAATGAAACCTGATGGTTTACAAAGATTTATACCTCCAAGAATACCTACTACTTTAAGATTTGGTTAAGTAAAAGATGAGATTAAAATTGAAGTGAAAATTTGGCAATCGTATAAGAATTGATTCTGTAGTTGTTTTTTTTAAATGTATTATGAATGAATAAATTTGAAATCTTATATAATTTGAAAATTTGATATTTATTATATTTTAATGTAGATAAATGAAAAATAAAGGGCTAAGAATAAACAAACAAATGATTATCACAAGGGGGTTTTGTGGGAATTTTATATAGTTGAGATCATGAGTCGATTGAAGCTAGACCACCATGGAGAACCTGGAAACACTGGACGGCCGTTTCGTCCTATTGTAGGACACCTCAGCAGTGCGCATCCACGATCCGGCCTCGCAAGATTCAAAACCAGGACCTACCAATCTCGAGCCAGAGCACTTAACCGATAGACCACTGAGCTAGCCGGCATCCAGCGGTTTGAATCCCGCGAGGCGGGATCATGGATGCGCACTGATGAGGAGTCCCACAATGGGACGAAACGGCCATTCAGTGCTTCCAGGTTTTCCACGGTGGTCTAGCTTCAATCGACTCATGATCTTAACTATATAAAACATATGATTGTTCATTATCGTTCATTATGGATACAAATACATAAAAACATATTGGAGATTACGCAATTTTTCTCATATTCATTTACTAATCTGAGGTGTTACATTTTTTATAAGTCTAAATAAATTCGAAAGTAAGTAGGAATGATAAAAGGCACTAGGATGTTTTGATGCTATTGATTTCTATGAGCTAGATGGTGGAAATTTTATTATCACTTTGAACAACATCATCAACGCCTCATTCATGTAGAAACGACTTTTTTATTCATTCCGCAAGTATTTGCGATTGGTTGTATTTGTAGGTTCTTTTACTCATATTACCAATGACTGCATTGTTCAGTCGATCTCAGAATCCGTGGTCAAAACTCATCTATATCATATAAGTCGATAGACAATCGATCTGTTTATTGATGACCGATTGATTTTTGAATTGCATAGTTATGGTAATTCTCTGGCATTCCAGAGACCATCATTGAAAACCTGGAAGCACTGTACGGCCGTTTCGTCACACTATGGGACTCCTCCACGATCCCACACCAAAGGGACTCGAACACAGGACCCATCAATCTCGCGCGCGAACGCTTAAGCTCTAGCCCATTGAGCCGACATCCAACGGTGTTAATGTCCAACTTAAAACAACCCACGATATTGTGTGACACATCCAGCATTGTCTTCAGTAAGTCACTATCTCACAACAGACCTGGTTGAACTCCACTGGTCACAGCTTCTCACTAGAACTCCAGGAAATATCTCTTGGAGCCAATCACCAGTGAGTACATGATGATTATTATCAGAATGGGGGTTTGTGAAGATTATAATAATTTAATAGTTGAATTGATGAGTCGATTTATACAAACTCTACTCAGTTATTAAAAAACACACCAGTTCGTTTTAATATCACTAACTGTTCAGTTCTACATTATAATTACACCTAACTTAGAATTTACTATTCATCAAAAATGTAAAGAGTAACAAATCATAATTGATTGTTTAAGTGAACCGAATGAAATTCATCAAACATATTCAAATCCAACGAGGTATTCATTTATTAAAATACAATATGTATATAGTTACTTCAATTAACAGCATGATTATAAAAACGATCCATAAAATGATTATACAATTCCAGTATCAATGAACTGACACAATAGTCATATTAGTGAACATAGAAACGGTTAGTTGGAGATTTTATGTATATATGATTGAAATCTGTCAATCAAAACTAATCTAGACAGTTTTATTATTATTTATGATACAAAAGTTTGTTAAACCTGAAATATGATCTAATTGACATGTTACTGTTGAATATAATAAGTATAATTTCTTATATTGAGTACTTAAACAATATTCAAATCAAAAAAATCTATAAGTAACGTTCTTGACTATGAAATTTGGTGTATTGGACGACACTGAATGTGAATACTAAATCATGTGGATTTAAAGCAATGAGAAATAAACGCATGAACATAATTCTAATCATGTCCCAAAGGATTTACTGTTCAGAGCCATCATCTTTCTTAATAGTTTGTTAACCTATTGTTTGAGTAGAGAATAAAAGTCATTTAACATAATTACTAAGCAAAATAATACGATTTCATTGTGTTTTATTAAATTATTTATTAATAAATGACCTAAACCCACCTATGGAGATGAGATATCCGTCTATCAACAAAAGGACGAGTATACTGCGCAGCAGTTCGCTCTGTTCTACTTTACGGTTGTGAAACATGGCCATTAAGAGTAGAAGATACTCGTAGGTTACTAATATTTGACCACAGATGCCTTAGAAATATTGCACGCATCTGCTGGGATCACCGAGTAAGTAATAGTGAGGTTAGACGAAGGGTATTAGGGAATGATGGTAAATCAGTTGATGAGGTGATGAATCTTCATCGACTCAGATGGTTGGGCCACGTGTTAAGTACATCTGAACACAGATTACCACGACGCGCAATGCTGACTAGTATAGGGTATGGTTGGAAGAAAGTTGGGGGCGGTCAAACCAAAACGAGGCATCAGTGCTTGAAGTCACTAACTTCTGGTCCTAGCCATGTTGGTAGATGCAGACTACTTGGTTGGGGTCGCGTGACCATCGTAACCAATTGTTGGAGACTCTGTGTGACATGGCTCAGAATCGATCACAATGGCGCAGGTGTATACTCTTTATCTTCCCTTAAACCTTGAGATTAAAATTGCTTCATATCTGTCTTTCTTCCTGTACTATATCATTATATACAATTTTTATTTTATATATCACCACCACTAAATTAACTACTTCTATGAATCCGGTGTTCATCTTGTTGTGCTAACGAGTTATGGCAACTTGGACCGTTGCATATATGTGCCTGGTCCTACGTTGTGACTGACTGTTACAGTAGTTTAGCAACCACTAAGATTTATTTTTCATTGATTAATTAATCTACTTTAATGAATATATTTGAGTCTAACGTGGGTTTTTCAATCAAAAAATTTTTAAAGATTTCAAAATGATTTAGTGACATATTAGGATAATTAGTAGTACTGAATATGATTATATACAATATAGGAACTCCTGAATTTGTCTAAAACACACTTTACTGCTTTTGAATGAACCAACGCTTGAACATAGAACAAAATTGTAGATGAAAGTAAACGTACTATACTATAATTAAAATGATAGTCACCAATAATATAAGCAGCAATTATTGTTTTATACAAACACCACATATACGATATCCACTCTCCTGTTATATCTTAATCATTAATAATCTGATTGATAACCTTTATAATTTGCCGTTTTCACAATCATCAGTTTTAGTTAAGCGATATTATGCTATCGTTTAATTTAGAACAACATATATAAGCGAACAATATTGTTTTCGATTAGATCTTCATCAAGCTTCACTCTAATATACAGTAATATTTATATGCATATACGAAATTATTAAACCAATCAAGGCGGTTTATGAGTCAATGATAACAGTGGAATAAATTACATAATTAAAATTAATAATAAGTGAAAAGTACAAATTGATAGAGTAATGACAGGTGTACTAGTTGTGATAAGCATAATAAAAGGCTTGAATCAATGTTACATAATAGGAAAATAGGTCAATGATTAGAAAAAATATAGTCTATATTTTTCTAATCGTTTAATTCGTTAGGTAAATTTAGTGAGTCAACTAAAATTTAAGGCGGATGACAAAAACATCATAAAATATTATATATTTGTAGAACAGAAAGTACCATATTCACTTGTTATCTATATCAGAAAAATTGAACACTTAACATACTAACACACTGTAGCTAACGATATATTACATAGTGATTTAAAGAAAACAGTGATTTCCTTATTTATTTAAACGCAAAACTTGGTAAAAACGGACATCCAAATATATATACCCTACACAATTGTGGAGAGATAGAGAAAATGTGAATACAAAAAGTGAAAAATGTCGTAAATGAATAAAAATAAGTGAATAAGGTAGTAAATAGTGAGAGTAATAGTTCGGTTAAGAAAAACACAACCAGAATGGAATCCTCCTCCCTTATACGAATGTTACCAATCCTTAAGAAACAACAGTGATCAGACACAGAGAGTCTCTTAGCATTCTCAACTCAGAAAGGCCAGATTTCCAAATATAGGTCAAAACTGCTTTCACTGACATGTTGTAAACCCAAACGCCAATACTCCCATCCATAAAAACTGTTTATAGAACTTGAACAATGAAAAATTTGAGGAGAAATGGTGAGATTGGGCAACCCGACTCCACTCTGAATGGAAGTGATCCATTCCTTCTTGAGGCCCAGCACATCCTGGCACGTTGAAGTTCGTGTTCCTTTCATCCCTTCCCGGTTGTTCGCCATGGTAGTTCCCTCATCTGTGAGTAGATATTGTAAGGCTTGTAACATGTTACTGAGAGTTATTTTGAATTCGTTGAGTTTGTCAGTATTTCGAAGAAAGGCTGCATTGAACTTTGTGATGCTGTTTTTCCAATTGTCAAATACTTCTCTAGCGTCATTTTCATCTTGTCCACAACAAGATAGTGATCTAAAGCTATGTCAGCTTCGCTACTGGCTCTCATATCTTCCATTGACCTTCTAAAAGTTTCATTGATAAAAATATGATCTATCTGGTTTCTGTGATGTGGTCCATGTAGCTTTGTATATGCATTTGTGTGGGAATGCTGTGTCCCCTAAAACCAATTTGTTGAATGTACATAACTTTGACAACCTTTCACCATTTTTGCTCCTTTCTTCCATTCCATTGTCGTCGCATGATATCTCGATACCCAGTGTTGTCCATTCCGACTTTGGCGTTAAGGTCTCATATTAGGATGGTCAGGTCCTTTACTAGACACTTCGTTATGATCGATTGCAGCTTCTCATAAAACTGATCTTTGTCGTCTTCATTGCTATCATTAGTGGGTGCATAACACTGGATAACATTCATGAGAATCCTCTTTCTTGCC